CTATGCTCGTGTGAAGTTGAATAATTTAGATCGCATAATTTCAGGTAGACATATCTTCTCTTAATTTAAATCATATGGATAATAGTAAGGTTATTACTTGTTGATACTAATCCTATTTACCAGTTCACAATATCACTTTTTTTAGTAAAATTTTTGAAATACGTGCAATTCACGTTTAAAGTTGAATGGTTGGTTAGCGTCATCCCTCCTCTTGGCTAATTACCCTTCCAGAAATTAAACAAATCAATCACAACACAGTATAATCATGTAATTAAAATTGATCAATAAGATTTAATCGAATGCTCAGAGTTTTTTCTGACCCTAAATTATGGTGTTAGATGCATGTTTAATATAGGTATGCTTCAACTTTTTAATTCTTTCTATACCATTTTCTTTTTCTTTTTAAACTACTGTTCCTGAAAGAAACAATTCCATTGAGCAGTGTATTCCTGAACTTGACTTGGCAACGAAAACAAAAAAAAAAAATATTTGTGTGGTATTTGAAATCTCTGTTCGGGAGCCCTCAACCTTTGGACTTGCTATTGTAACCGTTGATGGGAGAGCTTAAGAAAATATTATAGGATAAGGGCCAATTTAACTCCAACGGTGTACGGGGAAATAAAGATAACTTGGAAGAAGCGAAGAGGTCGTTTATAACTGTTCGAGGACTATATGTGCAATATGACGTTACGAAACGAATACTTTAATATCAATAGGGATGATGAGAGGCGATGCAACTACAGGTGATGCTGTTAAGGATGATAATAAAGTGGGTGATATTAAGGACTGTGATGATGTTCAAGTGAGACTTTAAGTTCACGTGATGGATTAACCAAAGTCTAATGACTAATTATGTGTCGTCTCTACCACAATTCTTGCAAGTTACCAACGTAAAGGCAATATTTGATTCCACAAACGTTCCAGAATCCGAGTCTTAATAAGCCAAATCGAAGTTACAAGTCAATTCAGTCCGCCGAATTGAGTCTCGAAAGGGTTACAAGTCGAATTTGAAGAATACTTCACAAGGGAAAATTCAGATAAGTATATATATTTTATTATTTATTGGTAATCAAGAGTGGATGAGAACTTGTCGTCTTTATTAAATTCAAAGGTTTATATACATTTCTTTTTTATCTATAGGGTGTTTTCGCTATAACAGGGCGAATTCGCTCTGATTTGAACGTATTCGCGATTTCTTGGGTGTATACACCTAGGTGTATACGCTCAAGGCGCAGGGATCAACAAGATGGTGTAATCGCGTATTCGCGATAATTTGGGTGTTTCACATATGCTAAGCCACCTACTATTACCATTTTAGTACGTACATCTTTAATCAACGACCAAAGATTGCGTTGGTTGATCGAAAAAGCAAACATTAGAAGCATCAATTAGTTGGTATAATTCATAGTTCAATATAGTTCAATGGTTTTTTTTTTTTTAAATACGCCTTAATTTCAAAAGCTAACTTGATCAAAATTATCAAAATTATAATTTTTTTTTCTCATCAAATAAAATAACCTGTCTTTAATAATCATCCAAAAAAACTTTCTTCAAGACGGAGAGAACAAAGAAGCTCTGGGATAGTTACAGAAGTAGGAAGTTTAGGTTGAAACCAAAATCCTCACTTACCGTCAACACATTCCCTCCTCGAAAAAAACTAAATGCAATGTCAACACCAGTCACTGTACTATACGAAAAAAACCAAGTTTCGTGTTCGGTTGATGTGTCTCAACCTATAAGTGATATTATAAAATCATCATGTATAGAACAATTTAATATTCAAAATTCTCCTACATTGCTTGCTTTAAGACTTCAGGAAACTGATGAGTTAATCACTGACGAGGTATTTATTTTTAAATGTACATTTAAAGGAAAAACGAAATAATGAAAAAATGTAATAACTTAGATAATGTGTGAAAGAAGATTATCAATATTTCCAATATACTAACTAATGATCTATTAATTATAATTAGAATATCAGACGAAAGATAACTGAAAATGAAAAATTGAAACTTGTATCTTCACCGCTTATCGAAGCTGCTGATATATGTGAAAAATTGGGTTCAACTGATGATAAAACTTTAAAGCTTACCACATTTTCTCTTCAAAAATATATCAAGGTATAATTATTTTAAAAATTATGTGTTTAGATAATTTACGTATCCTTATGCGTGGCAAACTACTATTATTACATATGATTTAAATTAAGAGAAGATATGTCTACCTGAAATTATGCGATCTAAATTATTCAACTTCACACGAGCATAG